TTGGTTTTTCTTTCACATAGATTGTCCCATATGCTCAAAGTGGCAAGGGCAGTGTTTTGCGGATCCTCCTTGCGTGTCTTACCGTTGTAGAGGGCCGAATACAGTGTGCAAGCCTTGCTACTGTTTTGGGTGTGACTACACTTGTGAGCAGCTACTAACTAAATACTAAAAGGATAACGCACACGCGTGCTTTTTTGGCACTGCGGACCAGTGATAATCACAGTTATACAGTGAATCTGTAATCAGTAAAATATTTCTTATACCCATAAAAATGTTTATGATTTAATGAATTAAATAAAGATGTCCGTGAATATATTAAGTTTCTTTTATTTATTTATATATTTATTTCGTTGTTGTTGTTTTTGTTCTCAATAGTCCATTTTACAGTTACGGGTGCAAACGAGGCTGAAGTTGACCTCATTTTGATACAACTCTTATCCTCCTTTATTATGCAAATCATATTGTCCTTATGCTAACTGGTATTCTTTTTTTAGCATGATTTTCATAAGAAAAGGAAAGAGGTTTGTATCAGAACAAGGTCAATCTCAGCCGCACTTTCATTCAGAGGCTAGGGTACTAAGCTCATAACTGTAAAATGGTCTATTGCTGTTTCATTTCCAACAACTCCTCACCCTCCCTCCAAATGCAAACATGACAGGATGAAGTTTTGTTTCGAAGGTTGTTGTTCAAAAGATTGTGAGTTGAAACGAAACCAAGTGAATATCACTGGAATGTTGTTTATGAATCGCTAATTTTTCTCGCCGAGAATGGAAAAAGCGAAGGTTGCACTCTTAGTTTTTGTACTCTGTAATAGCTTCTTTCAACGACGCAAATTGGAATACGAGGTTTATACTCTCTTGTTTAGCCTTTATTATCCATAGCAGAAAGTAGCCACTTACAGTTACAGAAAATGAATTGAGGCTAGAAATTGCAATAAATCACTACAATCACTACTGATTATAACGCACCATTTTTCATTACGCGCAAACTATATCGACTCCGACGTTAGCAATGATGTCGCCATGCATGTGTGGTGCGTAAGATGCTCAAGATACTGATCCGCTGCCTTTCTTTGAGAAAAGAGAATGTCTTTCTCATGATTTATCTTTAACTAAGAAAACTATCGTCGCTCATCAGATATTGTGTTTGTGATTATTCCGTTTAACGCTTACCATAACTGAACAACAAACCCGTTAGAGTTACTTGTCATTACCTGCTTAAAACAGACCAGTTAGTTATAGTTATCATTCATCGGAATTTGTTGGTAAAATGTCGAGAAACCACTCAAAATGGCCTGTAAATCGTTTAGCTATCTTTAATGCAGGTGACAAAATAATTTAGTGGTACTGAAAAAGAGCTTTATAGAAGTAGGACACCTAGAGATTTTTCAAGATGGATAAATTACCTATAGCCAACTGTTGTCAATAAAATACTGTTTAGATCAAGCAGCGTTATGTTTTCATCATGACCAAGTCAACTCGTAAACAATCAAGCGCCAAGCGCTTGTGTCTATTTCGTAGGACAGCATGAGAACTGAACCAGAGCAATTTTCAAATGAGCGGCCCATCAGTCGCTAAACCAAAAACTGAAAGGCAGTATTAGTAGTCAATAAAAAACAGGCGAATAATCCTGCAGTCAGCCATTTAAAGCTTCGTGCTCTCTGAGCCCATTGGCGGACGTAAAACTGGTTTATGGGTATATTTTCTCCACGCTAACTTTTTCCTTAATTCTAAAATCAAGCCCATTTCCCCCCCCCCCCCCCCCCCCCCCCCCCCCTCCCCCCCCCCCCCCCCAACCCACCACCCCCCCTCTAAAAACCTAGCTACGTGTAAAGAAAAAAAACTTACGGTTAAAACCCCCCCCGGAAAAAAGACCCCCCCCCCCTAGTTATAAGCCCATCTACCCGTAAATAAAAAAAAATACATCCGATTATAAGCCCCTCCATTCTTAAGCCCTACTTAAACCCCTTAAGCAGACGCATAAGCTCAGGGCTTAGCAGTGGCAGTTTACGGTATTCAATTAATTACAAATTCGACAGTATCACGTTTCCCACTGATACAGTCAAACCTCTTTAATACGGACACCAAAGGGACAGAACCAAGTGTCCGCTTTATATGGGAATATAGAAAATGATGCACTATAAAGTATATTAACCCGGATTTCTTCTCGGAAGAAACCCCTGTGGTTCGATTCTCGTAACTGACCGCCTCCTGTAAATCAACCTCGTCCCCAGGGTGCTTTTCCCTGGGTTTTCCAAAGCCAGGGAGAAGGGCCCTGGGGACGAGGTTGCCTGTAAATCTTTGCATTTTGGGTGGTCGCTTACGGGTTGTTTGACCGTATTTTCATGTTTTTGATAATTTAGTAAGTAGTTTCCCTCCATTAACTATGGCATCTACAGGGTGTTTAAAAAGTTTGTTCCGATTTTTTATTCGCTTAAATTTCACTAATTATTAAAAAAAAACCTTTTGTAAAACTTAGTATGTTATTCACTGTTTATTCA